CAGGAGTTTGTTTGGGTGGCCTAGAAGAGATAAAATAAGTGTAAGTAAATTGATTTTTGATTGTAAATAGTGGGAAGAGAGTCGATTAGTAAATCTTTAGAAACAGTGTTCCTTTTGCTCATGTCTTTGGACAAATGAATTGAAAGCAGTTTGGCATGAACAAAGTAGAAAAGGATTAAAAGAAAAGAATGTGCATAAAAGTGGCTTTAATTCGAAGCGCGTTAGAGTGAGATATACGTTAGAGTTTTTATCTGAGTCTTGTAATTCTTTCAGAACAGGGTCAGCGAATCCAACAGATGAGCGCTACTTGTCGGTAGTAGCAAACGAAACAATTAAGTTTATTTTTGACTCAGATTGGCAAACACATTCAATGAAAACTAATTTACAATAAAGGAAACTATGCATTATGACCTTTCAAGCCAACAGATATAAGTAATATCAGTTGTTCCAATCTCAAGTGAGGTAAGATGATGCTATTGAACGATTTCATCCGATTGAATTACTACCAGATGATTTCTCCACATTATTTGACTGCCGAGTAGTATTCCAAATACAAAAGGTTTTTTACCAATGGAAAAGCTTTAGCTATTCTGAGAAAAAAGAACATATTCAAATGACGTCCAGTCAGCTACATATAGCTCAATAACGTAATTGAATACGGTATTTGTAAGTATATTGTCAATAAAACAAAGCTTTCCAAAGTCAAATGGTAACGTATATACACGATATGTGATTGAGAAACTACGGGTAATAACACCTGATATTTCGTGATATCCAATATTCATGAAATTTCATTTATAAGATGTGTTGGATTCATCCCATGTTGTCTGTTTTTAACCCCCTGAGAACGGACGACGTATGTATTCGTTTGGGTTGAAATAACTCATAATTTATTTGCGTATACTATTTACGATATTTTAATGATCTATGCCGCTATATATATCGTTAATGTATTATACTATCATTCGTATAGTGACCTCTTTCATCTTTTTCCTTTTTCTAGTTATATTCATCACTTCTAATTTTTCGCTATGCCATAGTCCACCGCTATCATTTATCGTCTATTTTTATTTATCTTCGCACACATTGTCTCTTGCATCCACCAGAGTGTGTAAAGTCTTGTTTGCTCTATTAAAAATAATCCTGTCCTAAAGGGGTTAATGTTACCAGTGAAATCAAATCGTCGAAAATAATTCTAGTAAGAGGGACTATGAATGCGCATCAATTAAGGAATAAAATAGATTCTCAAGCAAATCACATGAGCAATCTGTATTTCAGCAAAGGAAAATCTATGCTAAAGAACTAGAACAATGTAGTTCCATTCGTTTCATAATTTATTGCAGAAAGCATGGAGTAAAATATTATGAAACCGATATAACATAGCACGCTTTACATAAAATACTATCCTCCACAGCCAAATAATGCATCAAGCACTATTTTTGCCCTTCGTTGTAACTGCTCGCATTTGTATATCACAGTTATTATATTGTAAGAAACTAATCAGAAGTTAGCTGATAGCAGGACTATGGATGTTTTGAAGTAAGATACTACAGCGTTCTTGTAGATTTCATAATTATCGTTAAAACCACCTGTTTAGGGATATTGAAAAGCGGTTTAACTTTTCCAACAAGCTAAACGTCTTGTTTTCTAAGAGAATCGATAAATTTTGGTGTTTCGAAGGTTTTCCACGTTTTCTTATTTATTAAAATACCATAGAGTAATTAATTCATCAAAATGAATTGACAGCAAATTGTTAGAGCACCTCGATGAGGGAGCTGTCATACTATTTAGATGAAAGATAATGAATGTTCTGACTCACCCTTCAACACAAAAACCAGATACGCAGCTTAGGGATAGCAATTTAACTTAACTTTAAATGTTCTAGTTAACGTCACCTCTGCAGTAAACCGTAGGTTCAATTTTTTTAATAGTTTTTGGCTTTAAAAAGAAATCAAAGATCATGTGACTGTTTTTTTTTTCAGGTTGAGAAACGATCATTTTTGTTTTTGTTTTATCTATCACCGAATAAGATTTGAAAAAATGAAACAAACACACTGAGGGATACTGCATGAAGCTCTATCAGCAAACTATATCGTCAAACTTATTACAATCATCTGTTTGTTTTTAACTAAAAAAACGTCAAATGTTGCAAAACAATCAGTGAAAACTGACTGGATAACATTTAGTGTTCTCGAAGACAAAACATACATAATTACAAGTAACGCGGCCTAGTAGCCGCTAAACCCTCTACTGAAAGGATAGTATTAGAGCGCTACTATTCGTCCAAAGAGAGAAAAATGCTGTTTCAGTTGAACGATCTGATCGTTTGATAGTTTGTCAGAATGTTTTACTTAGAACGATTTCGATTCCTGAAATCTTCTGAAATTATAACGCCTAGTCGTTTGTCGGCCTCTCTCCGGTCGACCACTCACGGTAGCCGTCGGTACCTAATAAGTGTTTAATGATATTTTCATATTAAAAAGTACCTCGTTCTTGTTGAGTCCGTCTCTAACAAAGTTGCCGAAATTCTTCGCAACTTCATGACCTACAGTATATCTTTTATTATCATTTTTAGTTGAATATGTCGATGATCTACATAGTTTTTTCTTGAAGCTCGAAAAGATGTCATATATATATATACCTTAGAAAAATGATGGGCACCTTGCGACAGTCTTATAAATCTCACTTTTCAACTAATTTTCAAAAGAAACAACTAGTCGTTCGTCGGCCTCGCTTCGGTCAGCCACTCACGGCTAGCTGTTCCCATGAGTACTCATTTTACTATCTTAACTTCATTCGGACGAAGACGCGTTCTGCAAATGAGCACATTTCGGAAAATCAATTCATAATCGAAAACTTAGAAGCTGTACATAGCTATATGATTCTCTGGAAAAGGTTTCAATCTTCTCTCCACCACGAGGAACCTTAAATGGCTGCCAGCTATGTTCGTGCAGAGCAACGATTAATTTCTGACCAAGAAATCTTAAAGCTCTATAAAAATCACAAAGTTTGTTCTTAAAAATATTATTCTGCAAATCGACGACTAGTCGCTCGTCGGCCTCCCTCCGGTCGGCCACTCGCGGCTAGCCGTTACATGTACATTTTCACTCTTCCATTTAGTCTACAGCCACTTTTGAAAGTAGTCCATTCATTCTCTTCTATTCCCTCTTTAAAAGTCACCCTCTTTATGCTACTGTAACTCTCGAAGACAACACCTGACAAGCGAAACATTATTTTAAATAACTGGCATCAGATGATATCCGTATAGTATAGCTGTTTCTAAAAGTGTGTGATCTCATTAATATGCTTATGATTATGGAGATCCAGCGATCGGACGTCAGTCAGCTATTACATTTTGCTCTACATATTGCCGCTTAAAACATTATCGTCTAAAAAATTGATCCTTTGTCGCAAAAAACGGATCAGAAAGTGTTCATGAAAAAACTAACCTCGGATTCGAGTTCCTCGGCCCCGATTACCCTTCGGTCAACCCTTACTCGACAACAAAAAAAATTGCATTGCTTAATTAGCAATTAGCTAATGAGGTAATTAGAATTTCGAGAAACTAACAGCGGATTCGGATTCCTCGACCCCGATTACCCTTCGGTCAACCCTTACTCGACAACAAAAAAAGTTTCATTGCTTAATTAGCTAATGAGGTAATTAGAATTTCGAGAAACTAACCGCGGATTCGGATTCCTCGACCCCGATTACCCTCCGGTAAAACTTTGTCCTCCACTAGGGTCACTGAATAGTCACTATCGAACAGTGATGTGAAAGAACGAACCAACCAACCAACCAACCAACCAACATCAACTCGTTTTTTTTGTAATCCCTGCTCGACGCATAACCCTCCTTTCAGTAGAGGGAAAAATGGATCTCTAATCTAAGCTGTAGAGTTTTTCATATTCCATTACAATTTTTAGTTAAAAAAATTAATTTAGAGATGTTAATTCCTTTTGATGAAAATAGAATCGGTTTCCAAAGGACCTAAAATCATAAAAGATGTCCTTGTTTTCAATTTTTTAATTTACCACTGTATCTGTGAAAACAGAATTCACTGCGCATACGTATTCTAATGCCATCTATCTGTGCACGCCAACAATTCATAACAATTGAAATGATTACACGTCATTTGTTTTCGTCAAAAACGTAATATAACTACATCATCACCATGGATTACTACTCATAACGAACAAAACCAAATATTTTTTCATCGCTTCTAGTCTCTACGTTACGGTTTGCTGCACGACTGAAATACAACATGCACACTTTTTTCACATTACCCGTCGAACTAGTTTATCGAATTATGGATCATCAAAATGCGCAGACGCTATTTTGTTCAATGCAAAATATTTGTCGACGGCTCAATCAGATCCTGAGTACTTACCATCGATATCAAGTAAGTTTACTTGGTATCCCAACATTCTAGTAGACTGTGCTATACATAAGCTTAATGGTATTTGATGTCGTAGATTCCCTCATAGGAAAACCCAAACTAATTTCATAATTCACAAACAATATTCCAGGATGAGACAACCACAGCCAGAAGTCATATGAAATCACGCATTTCATCACTCTCTCCCTTTTATTTTATGTACGTTGAGGATGCATTCGTCCGATACGCGATCATGAACGAGCAAAACGCTTACTTGTGCGTTACCGTTTCTGCGTTGCACTACTCGATACAAAAATTGCATCACTTACAACTTTTGACGGAACTCATCTACTGAAGCAAAAAACACTGTACTCATGCTTCACCAATGCCAATCTTCATTCTCAACACGGGTACATCAAGTCCCGCTCCTGCATTTCAGACTAGTAGGACTTGGATTTCACTGCAGCGCGTCTTCAACAGAGAAATCTCAGTACCACCAACAAATATCGAAACTTATCTCCTACTCTTTCCGATTCCATCCTATCGCGGTTTTCTCCGCTCTCGATTCTCGACACAGCATTTCTTTCCGCAACAACAACTAGCATCATCATCTACCCTCACCCTTCACATCTAAACCCAACTCCTCCTTAAAAATCGGCCCCAAACACAACTATTTTAAATCCCATACATACCATCAGCAGTGCCATCAAAGGTTTTCTTTACCACTTACGCATTTCATCATACTTTACTTCAATTCAGACACTCACCACACTTGACCTCAGAGGCAACGAAATCGGTGCTGAAGGAGCACAACACATTGCTAATGCGCTCCGAACGAATACGGTAATATTCATCTCATTTCATAGAAGACGAAGCACTGAGTCTATCTCACACCTACAGACACTCACCACACTTCACCTCCGTGCCAACGAAATCGGTGCTGAAGGAGCACAACATATTGCGGATGCGTTGCGAACGAATACGGTAATACTCATCTCATTTCATAGAAGATGAAGCACTCAGTCTATCTCACACCTACAGACACTCACCACACTTGACCTCCGTGCCAACGAAATCGATGCTGAAGGAGCACAACATATTGCGGATGCGCTGCGAACGAATACGGTAATATTGATCTAATTTTATTAGAGCTGAAGCACTCAGTCTATCACACACCTACAGACACTCACCACACTTGACCTCAGTTGGAACGAAATCGGTGCTGAAGGAGCACAAAATATTGCGAATGCGCTGCGAACGAACACAGTAATATTGATCTCCTTTCATAGAAGATGAAGCACTCAGTCTATCTCACACCTACAGTCACTCACTACGCTTAACCTCAGCGGGAACCGAATCGGTGATGAAGGAGCACAACACATTGCTAATGCGCTCCGAACGAATACGGTAATATTCATCTCATTTCATCGAAGATGAAGCACTCAGTCTATATCACACCTACAGACATTCACTACGCTTAACCTCAATCTGAACGGTATCGGTGCTGAAGGAGCACAACACATTGCGGATGTGTTGCGAACGAATACGGTAATATTCATCTCATTTCATAGAAGATGAAGCATTCAGTCTATCTCACACCTACAGACACTCACCACACTAGACCTCAGAGGCAACGAAATCCGTGATGAAGGAGCACAACACATTGCGGATGCGTTGCGAACGAATACGGTAATACTCATCTCATTTCATAGAAGATGAAGCACTCAGTCTATATCACAGCTACAGACACTCACTACGCTTAACCTCAATCTGAACCGAATCGGTGCTGAAGGAGCACAACACATCGCTAGTGCGATCCGAACGAATACAGTAATATTCATCTCATTTCATAGAAGATGAAGCACTCACCACACTAGACCTCAGAGGCAACGAAATCCGTGATGAAGGAGCACAACACATTGCGGATGCGTTGCAAACAAACACAGTAATATTGATCTCCTTTCATAGAAGGTGAAGCACTCAGTCTATGTCACACCTACAGACCCTCACCACATTTGACCTCTGGTTTAGCGAAATCGGTGATGAAATAGGTCAACACATTGCAGATGCATTGGAAAGGAATATAGTAAGATTGATGCTGTGGTCGAAGAAGTTTGTAATTTCTGTTTTGTCTCATTATTAGAGCGCCAAGATGGTATAGATCTGGCTTTAAATTCAATCGGAGAACAAGTGACCGTCGATCTGTTGACTCTTTGTGTTGATCAGATCTTTTTCGATTGAGAAGTTAGTAGATATCATTTGTTGTGTGGTTATCGTGGCATTGATGAGTAATAAAGATATAGAAAACGAATGTTGTTGTAAGAAGTGAATGTTGCCTGAATGGTAATGCTTCTTTACCGTGAGAAATTCATGTGCATCGGTGGAAATGAATGGTTTAGTTACGAGGGTATAAGGGAGTAGTGTTTGGTAGAAGAGACGCCATAGTGCGGTGCGTTTATGAGTGATCCTCTCGGTTTAGAGTTTGTTTCTGATAGAGTATGATGGACAAGACAACATTATTGTAGACAGCTGGACTCTATTGGAGATGTAGAAGAATGGGATCGATGATTGTAGAGCACGTATGTAGTTCAGATGTTATTTCTACTAATGGCAAAGTGATCAGGACGTGGTAAACTGAATGGCAGCGATTCTTCATTATAAGAAAGCTGTTGCATGTTTTATTCCAAAGCCTAAATGTATTGATTGTTTGATGAGGAGGTTTTATTTCTTTTTGTGGTTCATTTTTGGTGAGAGTAGTATTCTTCCGTTATGTATGAGTTCTACGGTGCGTATGAAAGAAACACTGTTATAAGCTGACTAGAATGACGTAGTGAAGAAAGAATAATTAAAAAATAGCACACCAAATCGTTCAGTTAGATTAATCATTTCCCACCATCAGCGTAGTCTGAAAACAAGTTATTTTGTCGAATATGATCAGCACTATTTACTCTTGGTGCTTATCCATGTTAAAATATGAGGGAAGTGTTTTTGCAGTACTTTATCGTGGAAAGAGCTTTGGAATATATTTTCGAGTTCGTTTGTATATCATTCTGATAACAGGGCTTTGTGTTTATGGTTTGCTTAAATCGAACATCTCTACACTGTTTGAAACGTTCTGAAGTTTGAAGTCGTATGAAATTTAATGATAGGGGCCTATTGTACCCTTGCTCTGAGATCTATCTTTTGAATGATGACAAAGCGGAAACCGCTCAGCTGTGCATAATTCAACATCATAGTCTGTGCGCTAAGATATGACATATATATTCGTAGCGTTCTTTAACATTACACTGTAAGAGAACGTACATTTCATTTGGTTTAGATACTTGTCTTTGAGTTCTCTGCACGTATCGGTGATTGAAAACTCGCATGAGATGGTGATCATTGAACAGAAGTGGATTTTCGCTATCTGGAGCCGCCACAGACTGAATTTATACATGTAGTATTACTACGTTTAGAGGTGGATCTGAAATGGTATGTATATAGCCCGCCTGTTTGCAAAGAGTTCACAGTACTTGGTCAAAATACACTCATATAAATCGAGTGGACTGAAAGTATGCAAAGGATCATCATCTAAATACAGATATTCTTGCTTTTAATCGCGGTATTTGCGCACATTTAGTCTCTGTTTGTTTACAAATGAGTACCAACAACGAATACAACCGTGTAGTAATAGTCTGTATGTGCTGTAGATAAACAATAGAATTTGCAACAACCAGCAATGTTATCGACAGGATTTGTATATACGAATATATAAGCAGTCGAAGATGAGTGTGCCCGTAGTCAAAGAAGGAAAATATATGTATTTTGTTTTCAGTAAATAAAATCGCGCCGTGCAATACTGAAACTTTTTAGCTGAGTATACAGTCACTTTTATTATCACTAAAAATAGAGAGAAGAAATTGTCATTGTTAAAATCAGGCAAACATGCTTGGATTAATTAATGTTCTTTACTTCTCAGTAATTACAGGAACCTATCCTAACACATGAAAAATATCCTCCCACATTTGTTCTGATCAGAGAGCTCACGCTCAAAAGTATCATCTTCTGATGGTAAATGTTGTTGAGTTTTCAGTTTAGATCTAATATTCCCAACAATAGCCATGGCCAAGTTCAAGGTAACGAATTCGTGCACAATGAGACTTATTTCAGTATACAGATGTAATTTATAAGTAATGTCCGCCCATTGAACTCGCTGGTATGATACTAAACTGTTAGAAATATATCGTTCAGCATACTTGAACCACCACAGAGACTTGTCTCTTTGTAAGAAAAAAGTCGTTTTTACCTAGTCGATTATCATGACCTATCCATAATATCCTATGTTTTTCTATTTCTATTCCAATTCAATGAACACGTTTAACTTTATACTATGTTTAAAACCAATGGCATCCTACTGTACGTCACATGATGTTCTGTTTCGCAGCGCAGAAAAGCAACAGGTTCACTCATACTTATAATAGATCGGAAAGATCTCATTTCAAATAGACCATNAGAGCTCACGCTCAAAAGTATCATCTTCTGATGGTAAATGTTGTTAAGTTTTCAGTTTAGATCTAATATTTCCAACAATAGCCATGGCCAAGTTCAAGATAACGAATGCGTGCACAATGAGACTTATTTCAGTATACAGATGTAATTTATAAGTGATGCCCGCCCATTGAACTCGCTGGTATGATACTAAAGTGTTAGAAATATATCGTTCAGCATACTTGGACCACCACAGAGACTTGTCTCTTTGTAAGAAAAAAGTCGTTTTGGCCTAGTCGATTATCATGACCTAGCCATAATATCCTATGTTTTTCTATTTCTATTCCAATTCAATGAACACGTTTAACTTTATACCATGTTTAAAACCAATGACATCCTACTGTACGTCACATGATGTTCTGTTTTGCAGCGCAGAAAAGCAACAGGTTCACGCATACTTATAATAGATCGGAAAGATCTCATTTCAAACAGACCATATATCGAATAAGATTCGAAAAACAAGGTGCACAAGAAGAAGCTAATGTAAAGTTTGAGGTTCCCAGTGTTAATTACGCTTTAAAGGATGGTTGCTCAGAGCGAGTAAACTCCAGCGGATGCGATGGGAATACGCCGAAAGTCCAAGATTCTTAGCATTTCTGGCATCCGACAGAATCCGATATTTTTCCTAGCGGATTTCTGCAGATTCTGGAAGCTCAGTTACTCGTTGTTTATTTTTAATTCGTTTCTAATTCTCTTTTCTGCAACAAAAAGAGTTATAGCATATAAAATACGGTCGTTAAAATGCTAAAAGTTTGTTTGCATAATCCAATCAGATTGCAACATTTTATAAATCAATGAAAACCTAACCGTACTTATTAGAAAACGATTGATGGAAGGTAATTGGAGTCGAGGATTTCGAATCTGATGTTAGTTTCTTAAAATTCTAATTAGCTAACTGACTAATTAAGTAAGGAGAAAATTTTTTTGTCGAGTAAGGGTTGACCGAAGGACATCAAGGTCGAAGAACTCAGATATGACTGTAACGGGACATATTGCTATGTTCTGACCTGTATGCGACTTTGACTCATCGACACTAGCATGATCGCTATACTTGGCTGATATCCATTGTTCTCTGTTGCCTATATGAGTGTGTATCTCATAACTAAACAGGAGCTTGTTACGTGAAGAAGCCAAATAAAGCGTGTGTCATCATATCACGGGCACTTATCTTCTCAAGTTCGTTATAATGACGTTAGTTTTTTCTTAGTCACGAACCTTCGGCTTCTTTCGTTTTTTTCAGAAGAGATATTTTTGTCTATCGTCCTAAAATCTTTTGTAGAAGGTAGTGGTTTCAACGCTACTGTTGGATGTGATGTGGACCAATAGAGTACTTTAGAAGTTTACAGAAGAAGATTTAATATACCATACATCATGATATTTCTAGTCCAAGAAATCATAAAAAGTGGTATAAGCTCAATACCATTTGTGTCTTCTAGGCTGCGATACACCTAGTCTTCCAATAGGAATTTAGTGGAAACATGAGCCAGAGTAATATACCCGTAAGTGCAATTCCATCTTATTAACTACAAAGACATGGCCTATACAAATAGTATTCTAAACATAGGGTGCATTATGATGCGTGTTCTTTTCACAGCAAATAATAAAATAAAACTTTTAT